GAAAAAAAAAAAAAAAAAAAAAAAAAAAAAAAGAATAAATAAATTTTAAAAAGCTTATTATCTTTGTGCTGAAAGTCAGCTCACATTTAAAATTCAAATGTTTGCTTTGGTAAAATAAAGCACTAAAATGACAATACTATATACTTGCTTTCTATTGAAATACTGCCATTTATTTTTTAAAATATTAATGTTTCTACTTTAAAACCCATATTTAATTTCTTGAGTCTCAGCTCCCAATACTCATTACTTCTGGAGGCCTTTAACAAGGTCAGAGTTTTGTGTTGTCTTGCAGCTGTGCTTTTGTGCCATGTCCTTACCTATTTTCTCCATCTGACTTAAAGCTCAAAGAGGACAGGGACTGTGTCTCTGCTTATTATTCTCCAGTGTCAAATGCAGGGTTTGGCCTATTCCTGGAGCTGAATAAACATCTGCTGAATCACGAGGAACTAGTGTCCTTGGTTTTGCCACTTACTGGCTGTATGGATCTTTGGCCAGACACTTAGTCAAGTCCTGTTTCTTTGTGTGTAGGGGCAATAATACCTACCTTACAGAGTATCTAAGTCTACCCGCATCAGAGGTGGCCTCAGGGTCTTCTGGTCTTGCAGCTTCTCTATGGCCCACTTGTCTCAAGTCTGGCCTGAACTCTTAGACCTCCAACCTGGGCAGAACCCTAAGACTTAGTACAACCTTGACAATTTGGAATGTCATGGATACCCCATAAATTAATGCACAGAATTCAATACTAGTTATTATTTTTGCTACTACTACTGAATTTCATTGTCAAATAGAAGAAATAATTTAGACAATCAAATATCATGCTACAAATAAGGTAATGCTATGAAAAGGATGTAAAATTGTATGAAATTTAAGAAAGTTAATTTCTGATAATGAAATTTTTTTTTGGGGGGGAGGGAATCGAACTTGGGCCCTTGTGAGGTAGGTGACAGAACCACTAAGCCAAATCCCCGGCCAGAGAAAGTTAATTTCTAAAGGGCCAGGAAAGGTTGCACAAGAAGGAAGTTTTATCTCAGGATGGATGCCAGAGGAAAGATAGATTCTATAGGTGGAGGACAGGGATGGGAATGCGGCCCTAACATAACTGGGCAGTTCTTGAAGCTCTTGCTGAGTTCCTAACCTCATTCTTCTCTGTGAACTTTCTAGATAATCCCCCTCTCCTTAATCCGTGTAAGAAACTTCTATCCCTGCTTGTTTTCATTTTTTTGAAATAGGGTCTAGCTATGTAGTTCAGGCTGGCCTTGAACTCATTATGTAGCCCAGGCTGGCCTTGAACTTGTGGCACTCCTTCTACCTACGCCTCTGGAATGCTAAGGTGTGCACCATCTTTGGCTTATCCTTGCATTCTAGCAGAGACCAAGGGGCAAGATTTCCCTTAACTCACCAGAGGTAAAATATTTTATCTTTCTTTCAGCTCTTAATGTTCTTATCCACGATGCTTAATTCATGACAATTTAGGTACAGTTATTTAATGACAACCAAGCCTAACAAAATGTCATCACTTTTGAAAGAACACCATTTTCTAATAAACCAGAACTGTATTCATTAAATTAGTGGAAAAATTTTAAAGTGTGGCTAATTCCCTCATAGGCAAACACCCTGCAGAACAGCCTGAACGGGATCACCTGCCTTTACCTTGAGCTCCCCAGGCTTCTTCTCTTCGGAGGACTTGCAACGGGTGATTTCCTGAAGCTTCTGCTCCAGCGGCTCCAGGCACTTCTGCAGTTTCTCCTGAAGGGTCAGGGGAAGTGGGAGAGGTGACATGTGGGTTGGCTGGTAAATCCACTGCTTCTATTTATTACTGTTATAATTTTGTGGTGCTGGGGACTGAACCCAGGCGTGCCAGGCAGGTGCTCTACCGCTGAACTTTGTCTCCACCATCACAGTTTGGAACCCTTTGTTTCTATCCTACTCAGCTCACTACCTTGTGATCCAAACCCTTCAATGCCAGGAACCTGAGATGTGGACTTCCTCCTCTGCACCACCAGCCCCTCTGCTCACTGACTTTCCTCCTTTTGAATCTGATAGGTTTTGAGCTTTTGTGTCCTTTCCCAACTTTCCTCATTTCTTATGAACAACTGTCAAAGCTCCCCGCAACCATTTTCTGGTGGTGGTGCTAGGGATTGAACCCAGAGCCTTGTTCACGTGAAGAATATGCTCTTCCACTGAGCCACATCTCCAAAGCTACCTTCTGTACTCTCATATTATATCCTTCTTTAAAACTGACCTCGCATCCAACTCTCAGCACTTATAAATAAAGTGAAAACTTGATTCTTTATACCATAAATTACCTGAAACTTAACTTCAAGGTTTTGTTAACACAGTTAAACAAAGTAAATGATGAAGTGCTGAGACACCAAAATCTCCGGTTTCTATTACTCAGACATTTACACTGTGTCCCAGTGGTAAGTTCAGCCAGATGCCACATTACCTATTATTTGAGGATGCAAGCAACAAACTGATCCAGCTTAGTCCACTGGGAATGATCTGAAGTGATGTCACCTACTGCAATATAGTACCAGAGGGAAATCAAGCAGTATCTCTAGCAGGGAGATCGAATAAAAAACCCTAAAACTTCAGTTCTTCTTCCATGTGGATTCATTCATGAAACATAGGATATAGTTCAAGACCACATATACCAATATTCACATATAAGATTTGTTTTTTTGGTTTTTTTTTTTGGTACCGGGGATTGAACCTGGGTCCGTGTGCTTGTGAGGTAGGTGCCAGAACCACTGAGCTAAATCCTCGGCCCTCCTATAAGACTTAAATGCATTGCAAAATTTCTGGTGCACTCCCCGCACTGTTCTCCACAGAGAGGACAACTGACCAGCTGTACTGAGTATCCCATGTATGTAGCTCTGGAACTATAAAGTGAGGACCAGATGGTCTTGCCCTTGGGAACTTAACCCAGGAAGTATGCCAAACTCTGCTGCCCCTCCCTCTTTCCCCACATTGGCATGATCTGTCTAGTTGCCCACCTTGTATTCCTGTGTTGCATCATCCAGTGGCACGACGGTGTGGGCCCGGTGGGTGTGGGAAATGGCACATATCAAACACACAGCTTCCTGGTCCTCATAGCAGAAGAGGCCGAGAGCCTCCTGGTGCTGGGGGCATAGGCTCTCATCTCGAATCTTCCTCTTGACAGCCTGGAGCTGCTTGGCAATTTCTACCATACTGCCCAGCTGCCGATTGGGCCGGAGACTGCGATAGCGGGATGTCTTCCGACAGACAGGACAGGGGAAGTCCCTCTCTAGGTCCTCCCACCAGCGAGTGATGCAAGCTTTGCAGAAGTTATGTCCACACTCAATGATGACAGGCTCCTTCAGATACTCCAGGCACACAGAACAGCTTGCCTCCACTTGTAAGTTCTCCAGAGCTGCAGCTGTGGAGGCCGCAGAGGCCCCAGCCTCTAACAGACTTGTCTCTTCCATTATTTAACTTGAGGGTGGAGAAGGAGACAGAGAAAGAAATATTAGTTGAAAGCTTAATTTTTTTTTTCCTTTTGTATCTTTGGCCTGACATTTGCTCCCATGTTAAAGATTAACTCCAGATCTAGCCCAACTTATTTTCCATCTTCTCCCACTAGATTCATATCTTTGTATCTCCATTTTCCAAACTTGACTTCCCACCATCAACCCGATTTTTTTCTCTTCAGCAAACTGATACAGAGCCTTCGATCTTTCTTGTCTTATTCTGCTCACTCTTATTAGATACAGAGGCTTCCTTTAACTCCAGCCTATATACTTTTCCTGGTCCAAGATCATTCAACTTCTGCCTTAGATCCAATAGTTCTAGAACACTGTATCTTACTTTGACATTTTAAAAAATAATAAACAAAAAAGGAGTGTAGGAAGTGAGAAGTACTATGTAAAGCAAAGTACGAAGATTTCTTAAATTGGATGTACTTAAAATTTAATGTCACATAAGAGATTAATTGTAACAGCCTACTGGAACCTAAGCTTGATTCTCTGCTGTTCCTTTCTTTCAAAGGGTAATACATTCAATGAGTTAAGCAGAGGTAACTATCTCTTTTCAGGAAAATCTGAAATGCTTCACACATCTCATTTCTTCTTGTGTACATCTGTACATCTGGAATTGTTGAACACTGATAAACACACAGGAATTCTAAAAAACACACTGTTGAGCCTACTTTAGGGACACATTTTTTTGTTTGTTTGGTACCAGGAATTGAACTCAGGGCTTCACACTTGCCAGGCAGGTGACGTACTGCTGAGCTACATTCCCTGTCCCGGGCAATGACCTTTTTTTTTTTTTTTTTTTTGTACTGGGGATAGAACTTGGGTCCTTGCACTTGTGAGTTAGACAGTGGAACCACTGAGCTAAAGGACGATGACCTTTGGAAGAGAACATGGACAAGTCTATTCTAAATATTAAACAGTGAGTAGAGTCTTTCAAAATAGCCATTGAAAACTAATTCCTTTGGACATACTGTGTCTCCAACTAACAGTCTCAGAAGTGGCTGGGAATTAAAACAGACAATCAAATCTCCCTCAGGTGGAGCCTCAGACTGACATATTATCAGACTGATTTATAAAAGAGAAGGTTGGTCTCCCCACTCCATCCTGAAAACATCAATACTTTTATCCATGAACAAGTCACATTCTCTATGTCCATATTCCCTTTTGGTCCCCTGGCAAGGGGACGGGACCAAAGGAAGGTTGGTACTGATAGAGAACTGGCCACGCAGTGAGTTGGGTTAGCAATGATTATTCCTGTATATTGATGGCACATGTGGAAATGTTTAATTTGGAATAGGAGGTAGTAAATCATTTCGAGTTTTTTCCCTTAGGATCAGGAGAGTTCAGTCCAATAATTTGCCTCTACCCATTAGAATCCAGCTTTGATTGGCGATTCAGCCCCCTTCCCAGTCTTCTAGACTTTGGTGGCTTCCTCGCCTGGATGATCTCAATGGTGTGCACATTTAGGAACCAGGATGGCTCTAGACTGGCAAGGAGGTGGTGAGAGAGAAATGAGGAGCGGTTAGTGAAGAAGAGAGCGGACTCGGCGGTTGAGAAATGGGGAGGGCAGCCGAGTTTAGGCCTGGGGTGCTTCTGGGTCGTCCTTCCTCTCCCTCGGTTCCTGTCTCAGTAGAAGGGCGAACTTCGGGAACGTCCTCTCTTTATTTCTATCACTGTTCAGGTTCCACCTTGCGGCCCTCTCCCGAGCGTGGTCCGCAACTGTCCCACCCGTGTCTGTCTTCTCCCGCCACAGCTGAGGCAGGGGGATGCGAGGGGACGAGGACGCGTCGCGGTGGCTGGAGGGAGGGACGCTGTCCAGGTGAGGGGGAGAAGGCAGGAGGCGG